CTGCCATCAAATGTCACCTCTGCTGCCGGGATCGACGCAGTATCTTCGATTCGTCCTTAGTCTTCACAGATGGGTTCTGCCAGTTCTTGAAAGCATCCTAGGCGAAAGAGCCTTCGGGATCTTGGCCGCGAGCTCTCAAGACCCTTAACCCGCCGAGCCACCACTAAGCAAGTACGACATGTTCGTGCCGCAGGCATTTGGACTCGAGGCATTGCGCGTCAGGACCCGACATGCAACTGCAATGTGGATCTGAATAGACACACGGCCTAAGCTCGTTCCTACTTGCGATGGTGATGCTGACGCTAGTGATGACGCTAATGTTTCTGTTGGTGATGACTTTCGGTACTGTCGTTGCCAATGCAGGTTGCCACCACTACGGCAGTATTGATCTCGCGGTACGCCGACTACGACTGGTGAGCGGTTGCTGTAAGCGCAAGAATCTTGGCATGTAGGACTTGCTGGAAATGAGTACACAGCCAAGCAGAATTCGTTGACAAATCGTAGGCCTTGGGGCAATGTCGTCTGGCAGCCCAAGGAATGAGCTTGCTACCAGTGTACAATGTGACAAGGCTTGAGCCTGTCAGCGCATGAAACAAAATGCCACACCTGCAAATTAAAAACAACACCAATCTCATCAAAGACACGACTCTTCAGAGATGTCTGTGACCAGTCCTGTTCCGGCAATCCCGAATCTGCCAAGTGTTCCACCTAAACATCCGGCGCTGCAGGTGGTGAGAGACCTTCAGCCGCAATCCAGTAACGCCCGTAATCCTATAGTGGCAGCAAGAAGCATGCAGAAATATTTCAGAGAGAAAAAAACGTTTCGAACCGTGCATAACTGTAGCAAGAACATAGCCAACTATTCACACGAGGAACCAGTGGGTATGGCTCGCTCGAATGATCAAAACGATGCGGGCCGGGCCAGGAGAAGCCACAAAGGAGAAGAGTGTGAGAGCGTTCTGCAGAAACAGGCGATTTTACAGTACCTGGTTGTGAAATCCAATGCACGGAGATATTACAGGAAAAGCATATCAGCATATCTATACCTGGTTGTGAAATCCAATGCACTGCGATATTACAGGACAAGCATATCTATACAGTGGCTACTCAGGAATCCTGTTGCAACTTCTCCCTAGCCGTTGTAGCGAGATGCAACAGCGGGATAACATGGTATAGACGGCTCAAGGTCTATACTGGAAACTTGGAGGAAGCCTTTCAACAGGCTGTTGAGCCGCTAAAAGTTGGATTGAAAGGGTCTCGGTGCTGTCTGCTCGCTCCTCTGATTCCTCACCGGCACAAAACCCTTAAAAGGATTGACGATACTGGCTCACTGGAAGCAAGCGATATTTCTCTTCCGCCCGGCGGGGTGTTCCACGCCGTGAGACGCCTCTGCCAGTGGTGGAGCTGAATAGACGGCCAGAATGTGTTCTGACCAAAAGACTCCGGGCCAAATCTGGCTCCTGACTTCACGCAGCTCTTGCAGAATGCTACATGACAATAGATCCTGGTGTCCAGGCACGGTAAAAATACGGCTAACTTATATAGATCCTCTTTTGNNAGGCCTACATCCGGTCAGGGTCTATCAGGCCAGATGTAAGCTGGATCTCAGAGCAGCGCTCACCAAGTGATCAAACAAACCTCGGTGTTCAAACACGCTATCAACAAAAATGTCTAGCCGGCCCTGCAGCTGCAGCTCGTCCGCTCTCGTTTTCTGTGCAACACCAAGCATGTTCGCATCTAAGCTGTCCCCTCCCACTGCCTCCCAAGCGGAAGCCCTGTCAAGCTGTGCAGAAGCTCGAACGTGACGTCACGCCAGTGCCGGACATGGGCACCAATAAACTTTCAAACAACCACCTTCGCGACTTCTGGCTCCGCCTTCGCGACTTGTGAAACTGCCTTCGGGCTGCGTGGGCTCACCTTGGTCACACCGCGGACAATGGTCTTCTTGTCCACACCGCCTGAGCTTAAGATCCAGCTTTGATGCAAACCCTCCTTTCGTGACTGTACTGAAGACGCCCAAGCTACTGCCCAAAATCGTGACAAACTTGCTGGATGCCGAGATGCCATGAGAGTATCTGGTGATGTACATGGCATCGTGCTGGATGACGACGTCCATGAAGCCATACCCATCATCCTCCCCTGTTTTGCTAGGCAGAATTTCAGAGGTGATGCCTCCGCCACCTCCAGAAATCACAAAAGCAGTCTCCCCAAAAGTCGTGTTGGTGTGCTGCAAGTGGGTGTGGCCGCTGACGTAGAAGTCGACGCCATATTCGACCTCGGAACGCAGTCGGATGCAAAGCAGCACATCCTACTCTCTTTCAGGGTCCATCTGCTCATATAGTATATACATTGGCCTTAATGTAGTCCCTATATAGGTACTTTAGGGCCCATGTATATCCTATATGAGTACATGGACCCGTAGGGTCTAGGACGCCTCGCGAGCCTCAAACCTTCTGCCCGCCTAGCCCAAAACACGCCAACTCAGACCCCAAAGGCCTAAAAACCACGGGTTCTCTAAGACCAGCGCTACAACGCTAAGCTCAATCCCGAACCTTAAACCCGACCCTAAACCCTAAGCCCTAAACCTCCCACACCCTTAAGTTTCAAACCCCCCAAAACCCCGAAGCCCAGATCCGTCAAGCAAGATGCGAGATAGCTCTCCCAGGTCGAACGGCAGGGCTCAAAGTTCGGCGGATAGTGGGTTACGATGATCCTGGGCAAAAGGCTTAGGGCTTTCATTGTTTGTAGGGTTTGGGCTTTAAGGTTTGCGTCTTCGTCGGGAATCTCGAGCTCTTCAGGCTTGGTTTCATTGATACGCTGCTTCAGGCCATCTTGTCGAAACCCTAAGCTTGAGTCTTCTGTTGGTGGCATTGCCAGGAACTGATCTAACGGAGGAATCAAAAGTTTTTCTGGACGGACAAGATCGATGCCTCTGAATTGGTGAAGGCAGCAACTGCGTGAAGCTTGATTTGGGCTGGTTGCTGCCATGATGAAGATTCAACCTCAAAGCCATTGCTTTTAGGTGTCCAGGGCACTGCCACTCAGCAGTGGATGCCTGTAGCTCCTTCGCAAGCCAGTCCTTCTGCGCCTCGCATGGAGACATTCTCGTCTCCCAAAAGCAATAACAAGACGCAATGATGCTTCTCGGTGCGATTCGTGAAAACGCTCCTATTACGGCACAAGTGCGGAGCGGAGCTTATCAAAGGGCCAAGCAAGGCAAAAGCCGAGTCTCCTTCCACAAGTCGTCAAAGAACTTCCAGCAGGTGTCTGGGCTCG